TTAATGAATAATGACAATAGTATTGTTATTGCTTAGTTAACATAAATATATTTCAATAAAATGTTTTTAAAGAAAGATGACAAAATAACTATTTTAAGGTATAAAACCTCACTTAGAATGTGTAAGTTCTGTCCATCCTGTTAAACAATTACTTTCAGCACTTCATGGTCGTATCTCTTGTATATGTAAGACTGCATATACATATAACACACACACATATATACACACACTTAAACTTTGGCTATTAAAAACTATTAGGGGAAGAATTACAGAGGGCTATGTTTTCTGAATCTAAAACTATTTTATGCAGCTATTTTCAGGGCAAGTCTTAATGTTGCATACTTTTTTGTAGAGCTGATTATACTTAGGAGTTCATTTATTTAGTCATTTGTTGCTTCATTTCACAAGCATTTTTGAGTATCTGCTATTTGCTAGACACTGGGAATGAAAATTCAGCCAAGAATAGGTTATACAAGGTCCCTGGCTTCATAGAGCTTTTATTCTTCCAGCGTGGAGAGAAATAAATACCATAAAAGTAAATAAATCATGAACAGGATCATTTCAGGGTATGGTAGCACTACAGGAAAAATAGCATGACATGTGTTCCAGAGTAACCCTTGGGTGGCCTGAAGGTATACACTACTTTAGGGTGTCCAAAGAAGGCCTCTTGGAGGAAGAGGCTTTCAATCTGAGGCCTGTGTTAGAAGAAGGAACCAGTTATCCAGAGAGCTTGGGGGAGGAGAGTTCGAGGCAGAGGAATCAGCTGATGCAAGTGCCTAGAGCTGAAAACAAGTGTGTCCCAGATTCATGTATGTCTCGGAGAACATCTGTTTTTACACTCTACTGTGACTATACCACTTGGCCTGGAGGCGTATGAAAGTCCTGTGTCCTACCCTGAGTGGCCTCAGACTGTTATGGAATTTTCTATTCTTGTGTCCAGTTGGTATAATTTTTCTAAATCCTTTCGGTTGCCAGCTCTCACATAATGGTTCCATCAGTGTGGTTTCTCAGCAGTCTCTCTTTAATTTGCAACAGCCTGTATCTTCACTGTGCCTAGAATTCAAATGACTAAACTTGTTAGGACTACATATGAAATAAAACTAAAAAGTTTCCATCCTCAGGTTAAAATTGTTCTCCTAGATTAACATCCCTGCTCTTCAGTTATGTAGAGAATGTAATGTTGCTGTATTGCAAACTTCTAAACAGCAAGGTGTTGTTCTGTCATTAGAGATGAGCATATTCTCCTCTATTATTTGTAATTCATTCTTTTTTATTATTATTTTTGAGACAGGGTCTTGCTCTGTCACCCTTACTAAGAGTGCAGTGGCATTACCATATCTCACTGCAACCTCAAACTCCTGACCTCAAGTGATCCACCTGCCTCAGTCACCCTATCAGTTCATAGATGAGTTGGTAAAACATTTAACAAAAGTTCTGGGACTGTAACTCCCCCTACCCCCCTCCAAAAGAAAGTAGTAGATGGTCTCATAAAATGTTATGGTTGAAATCTTCCATCTCTTTGCTCATTTGGAGCTGTTAACTCCAAATGTGCAAGGGCATTAAAACAGACTCATTAACTTCTCTTGAGTAGATCCATCCTTATGTGGTCATCATTTCCCAAAGCTAAACCAATAGGTTATTTTCCTACAGAAACAGAGCTTTCTTTCTTTCTTGAAACTAATTAAGAAATGTTAAGATCCACAGGAAGCTTGGCCATGCCTTCTTCAACAAATAGGTGGCATAGTTGAAAAAGCACAGACTGGTTCTTCTCTTATGTGGTGTGTGGCGCTTGGCAAGCTATTTTATTCTCTATGGCCCAAGGTTTTTCACTGGGGAAAAAACAGGCAATAATATGCATATAAAAAATGATGAGAATTATTTTTTAATGTCATAACAAACAGTTCATTGAAGGATAAACCCATTGAATTCAATCTCTTAAATGAGTGTTTATGTGCATTATTTTCTTTCTCTCATACTATTCTAGCAACCTAAATGTCTTATAATTTTTTAACTCAAATTTATCTCTGAAAAGGGGTGTGTTAGTCCTCTTCCATATGCTGTGACTCTATTTTTAGTTTCAGCTCATCACAAATGTCACTGGAAAGCAGAATTGGGTAGTGGTTAGGAGATAAGGCTCTGTTGTCAAAGACCCGGGTTCAAATTTCAGCTCTGCCACTCTGGACAAGTTAATGTTTCTAAGCTCCTGTTTCCTCATCTAGAAAATGGATTTAATAATAGTACTTATTTCATAGGATTTTTGTGAAAATTAAGTGAGGTGATCCATGTAACTTCTTAGCATGCTTTCTGGTTCATACCAAGCAATTAGTAAATATTAGTTATCTTCCCCCTTTCCTCTAAAGTACAGATCTTAAATCTTTGCAATAATTCAAAATTTTTATCTTCCCTGAAAACTGGTAAAACATTTCCTTTAAGCATGATATGCACTGTGACTGGGATGTGAGATGGCTTGAGGCGCTAAGCAGAGGAGCATTTTATATAGTTAGAGGGTTGTAGTAATTTTCAGGGCATCTTCTATTAATGGCAAGTGATCTTCATTTTCCATTGATAGTAGCTCTTTATATTGTAGCTCTTTGCAGTTATTTAACTTTTTAAATAAGGTGTGAGTGGATTTAAAGAATAATATTAAACAGAAGTACAGGTGGTCCATAGCTGTGACAAAATTGTGGAGTTGGAATATCAGTGATGGTCATGGTGGAAATAGCGCTGAATCAGTTGCCATCTGAAAACCCCGGTTTTCATCCTGATAGAAAAAGCCTGTGCTTTGGGACTTGGTAGATATTAGTCTGAAATGTGACATTAGTACTTTCTGGTTCTATGGCCTTGGGCAAGTTACTTAATCTTTCTTTCCCTCCCTTCCTAGAAGTATTTACTAAAGGCTTACCACATTTCCTTGTCTGAAAAATGAGGATAATACTTGACAGCGTTTTGGTAAAGATACAATACAAAAAGATCAGATAATTGAAAGCATATATATTTACCTAATTGATGGGTTTTATATAACAAGCATTATACCCCATGCAGGGTAAGTGCTCCGTAAATGTTAGTTCTTAATGTTATTTAGGATTTGTGGTTGTAAGTGATAGAATACCAACTTCAACTGGCTTGGTACAGAAAGAATTTGTTGTCTTATGTGCTCAGACTGCAAGAAGGTTAGCAATGACATATGCCTTGGGGACAATTAGAAGCAAGGACTGAGATCCCACAGGACTCTCTCCAACTGTTATCTCTGGTACTCTACCCCTGTTAATGTCATTCTCTCTGGCCAGACTCTCCTCACATCTAGAAACACAACCACTGGTGGTCCCAGACTGACATGACCAGAAAGGGACTGAGCATTGTGATCATTGTTCCCAAGCCCAGAAACCCTAGGAAGGACTCTGAGCCCCAATATGGGTCAGGTGCCCACCTGGCCAGCCATTGGTTTAGAGAACAGGAGCTGAACGAAAATGGCAGGAAAGACCATTTTCCAGAAGAAGGGGAATGATAGGTGCCTTCTCCCATCACATTTACCCCCTTTCGTTTCCTGTGTAACTTTGAGGGAAGTACTTATCCTTTGTGGGCTTCAGTTTTCTCCTCTTAAGTTCTGAGGTTTAGATGATGTAATAGATGTGAGTGCACATTTAATGTTACAGAATTTTTTGTATGCAGATTTATTATTGTCACTGTTATTTGCTCATCCCCTGCAAATCTTGGCACATCATCCAAAGGCCCCCAGCCTGTATACCCCAGACCCTTGAGGAAGCAGTAATTGGTTCAGAGTGCTGTGTATTTTTTTTTGTGCTGTGTATTTTGAATACATCCCCTTTTAAACTTGTTTTTGAAGTGTAATACACATAAAGAAAAGAGTATATACCTTAAATGTACACTTTGATGAATTTTAACAAACTAAACACACTTGTGTATCCAGCACGTAGATTAAGTATCAGTAGCAGGCCAGGCACAGTGTCTCACGCCTGTAATCCTAGCACTCTTGGAGGCCGAGGCAGGATTGCTTGAGATCAGGAGTTTAAGACCAGCCTGAGCAAAAGTGAGACTCATCTCTACCAAAAATAGAAAAAATCAGCTGGGTGTGGTGGTGAGTGCCTGTAGTCCCAGTTACTTAGGAGGCTGAAGAAGAAGGATCATTTGAGCCCAGGAGTTTGAAGTTGTGGTGAACTATGATGACACCACTGCACTCTGTCAACCCTGAGCAACAGAGTGAGACACTGTCTCAAAAAAAATAAAACACAATAAAAAAGAACAACAATGAACCCCTAGAAGCCCCCCACTTGTAGCACAAGTAGATTAATGTGCCTGTTTTTGATTCATCATCTAAGAAATCATTTTAAAGCATTGCCAGCCTCATGGCAGCATTTTCCATGACTATGCTTTTTTAGTCAACAGGTTTTAAAAATAAAACTGCCATATGTCATAGCTAATTTTTTTATTTTTAACACTAAAAAAATCTTCAAACTTGAAAGCACTGTGAAAAGCTTTTCAGGTCATTCCTACTTATTACACCCTCTTAAATGTTTGGTTTTTGTTTTTGTTTTTTTTTCTGGCAGAAATTACCATTAGGTAATAAAATATATTCTGTTCCCTGGGTATTGTATCATTCATGTCTAAGGCTTGCCTCTTTCGCTTAACAGATCATAAACTCCTGAGAGAAGGAAATAAGCCTTAGGATTTCTTAGGTGTCTTGTATTTTCATTCCTGTGCATAGCTTAGCATAATAATTGACTAAATAACCATGGTATTCATTTCACCACACTGAGATTTGGTGGAATGAGTCTGCATGTATCCTGAAAACATAACTACTGGAATCCTGGGCACTTTGGTGTTTGAAATGGTTCCTTGCTAGTAAATATGTCAGTTTGCTGTTGCTTTTGTGCTCAGCAAAACAAATGTAGTTATAAGTGAGTTTTTCTTATCGTGTTTTTTTTTTTTTTAATTTACAAAATTTTCCAACATCTTTTTTCCTCTTTGTTTTTCTCTTTTAGGCTCTAGACCAAGATAGAACAGCTCTACAGAAAGTGAAGAAGTCTGTAAAAGCAATATATAATTCTGGTCAAGGTAAGCACTTACCAAATCAGATAACATGAATTATAAATAATGTCCACAGAGTTTTCTTTGTTATTTGTAAGATGTTAAGTTTATAGAAAACTTGATACAGATGGAAAAAAGTAAATAGTTGAAAGAAATTCATTTTTTTTCTCTTTTTTCCTCTCTCTCTGTACTATTAGCCCAAACCTATTGGTGTTTCCAAAGTAAAAAGAAGAAAAAACGTTAGTTGCAGTAGATTTTATTGTATGTTTAAGAACTTAATAGAGTTATAGCTAATTTTGTCATGGGTAACATATGAAATGTATAATCTTTGTGTATATGGTCAACCTGTAATTCAGTGGCCTCAGTTAAGCACACAAGAGTCCTTTCCTTCTTGAATGTACATGTATACATTTGAAAATCAGTAGTAACAAAGGACACAGGATGAAAGAGAGGAGGGAACAAGGTTAAATTTAGACCTGGACCTGCCAGCTATCATTCTTTTCTCAGAAGGGATGCCAGATAACCTGTGTAACCAAATGCTTTAGCTTTCTTGTTGTGACTTTGTCAACTCAGAGACAAAAGTATGTTGTCAATGAGTAAGAGGAAACAAACCAAATTAAGCAGAACAGTAGGTAACCGGAAAAAATGGTAGGCTCTGTCGCCACAGGGAAGGAGAGACTTTGGAAACATAAAATGAATTTCAAGGTTTCTGACTCACATCTTTTGTTATTATCATTATTGCAGTACTAGCTCACCAACCCAGACGTTACTTCTCTAAGAAATCAGTTGTCTGTAACCTAGCAAAATCTGGGAAGGGAAGGTAGCCGACTTTAATAGAAAGGGGACAGGCTTTGAAGTTGGACAGATGTGAGTTCTTCTCCTTGCTAAGTTACTGCGCTGTCTTGAACCTTCCTTTTTCTCATCTGTAAAACAGGGTTGTTGAAGGGATATAATGAGCTAATATCTATAAAGAACCTGCCAGGTCATGGTTGTTCAGTAAATGCCAGTTCCTCTTAATTTTATTATCATTAAATTATAGAGCAGAAAGGAACATGAACAAGGGAAAACCCTCAGGTACTTTATGGCCCTCCTTCCTCATCAGGGCTGGGAATCACTAGCCTGACTAAACTGGAAACCTAATAGTCTCTTGTTCTTTAAAACCCTCTAGGCCTTGGGACATTCTGTAATATTAACTGTTAACACATTTCACACCCTGCTGCCTTGATTTCCCTCCCTCACTTCTTTATATCTAATAAAATACTCCTCATTAAGGTAGATAAATGATAGTTGTTTAGTTGTGACCAAATGTTCTTTTAAGTCTTGGCCTAAATCATATACCTGATTTATAATATCTTTAGCTTTGTTTTAATGAACTCCCACATGTTTAATGAACTCCCACAGGCCCTTTACAGATATTAGCTCTCTTGAGAAGCAAGTGGGATAGATAACTAGTAGGTGCCATGAAAGAGGGTTCTGAGATGCTGTTATTTTTCTGTTTCTTGATTTTGGTGGTAGTTACATCTTTAAATTCACTTTTTGATAATTCATCAAATGTTACACTTAGGATTTACGTACTTTTCGATAGGTATACATGTTATGTACCAATAAAAACATACTTAAAATGTATATATGAAGAGGTTCAGTGATGCCTTGATTATGATTTGGAAAAACCAAATAAATGGGATTTGTTAAATAAACAATAGTATATCTGTGTAATAGAATATATACACCCTTTAAGAAAAAGAGAGGAAATCAAGTAATACAGGTCTGAGTTTGAATCCTAGCTTTGCCGTACTTGTTAAAGTAAATTATTGAACTTTTATGCATCTTAAATTTCCTCACCCTAAAATAAGAATTAGGTCATTAAATATGAAATATCCAATTTCTAACCAAAAGTTTAGTTATTATTATATCTAAAACAAAAAGCAGTACAATTAATCAAAATATGTATCAACACAGTTTTGCCATCTTAACGGAAGCTTATGCCAGCAGTGAAGAAGCCTAGAGAGCCAGTGGTGATAAAATCACAAAAGGCGTTTTCCACAGCTTGTTGAGAATTGAATATTTTTTCTTGCAAGAAGTAGTCCAAAGCCGGGAAGGAAGTGGTAGTCAGTTGGTGCAAGGTTTGGTGAATATGGTGGATGACAGTTTCCAAGTCCAGCTCCTATAGTTTAAGCACCGTTGTTTTTTTATTTTTTTTTATTTTTTGCAATATGTGGTCTTGCAAGAGGATTGATCTGTCTCTGTTGACCAATCTTTGCTGCTTAATCGCAAGAATCCTCATTTCATCCAATTGGTTGCAGTAGACATCTGCTGTAATCAATTGACCAGGTTTCATGAAGCTATAGTGAGTAATACTGATATCAGCACTAGATCACCAAACAGACACCATTAGCTTTTTCTGATGAATATTTGGTTTTGTACTGTGTTTCAGCACTTCATCTTTATCTAATTATTGTGCTGAACACTTGGAATTGTCAAAAAGGATCCATTTTTCATCACATGTAACAATATGTAGAAATGGTTCACCTTTATGTTGTCACAGCAAAGAAAGACAAGCTTCGAGACTGTTTCTATTCGTTTGCTTGTTTGATTCATGCAGTGCCCATCTTTCCAGCTTCTTTATCTTGCCCATTTATTTAAAATGGTCCAGTATTGTTGGAATAGGAATGTCTGACCTTGCTGCTAATTGACGCATAGGTTGAGATGGATTCGCTTCCACCACAGCTTTCAGCTCATCATTATCCACCTTGGTTAAAAGTCACCCACATGGCTCATTTTAAAATTAAAATCACCAGAACAGAACTTCTCAAACCATCAATATGCTGGGTGTTCGTTAGCCACATCCTTCCCAAACACTTCTTTGGTATTTCAAGCTGTCTGTGTTGCATTGGTTCCACAATGGAACTCATATTCAGAAATAACATAAATTTTTGACTTATCCATGGTTTCGCAAAGATTGCTCTTAAAAAAAAAATTGAAAGATAATTACAAGCCAAAACATGCATTTAAAAGACTGAAGATGTACCTTCACAATAATAATAATAAAAAAAGCATCAAAGTGAAATGTCGGAGATATCAACTGTCAAACTTAGTACTTAAGGAAATTGGACATTTCATACTTAATAACCCCATAACATCTAATTTGCAGAATATTGTATGGACAAGATGAAAGAACATTTAAGCCCCCTAATATGCTGCCTGTCACATAGTAGATGCTTAACAAATGGTAGATGGGGAAAAAGGGCAGCTAGAGCAATAGCATGGCACGTGCACCTTCTTTGTTTTTATGCTTGTACAGATAACATTGGACCAGTCTGATTTTATAAAGAGCTTAATGAGCCATTATTTGCCTCAGGAAGAACTGTCAGTTCTCCATAATGTAATGGTTCATACTTGAGGCTCTCAGCTTGTGAGCCACAGAAAGGAGACCTTTGCTTCACAGCTATGAGGTGCTGCCATCCATACCGTGCTGCGGGCTCCATGTGTCTCTTTTCTTTTCCAAATATTCTTGCTCAAGATGCATTTCATCCCATGGCCACAAGGACCACATCATTCAGCAGCTCATACAAAGACTCTTTTACTTGAAGATGTGCTTCATCTTGTTCTTTAAAGAGTTTCCTTGGTCATAGCTGCTGTGGATATGACAGGAGGGAGAGGTTGTCCCTGTATTGGTGTAAAGAGAGCTCAGGGTGTGTGTGCAGAATTTGGGTGCTGTCTCCTCCCCTAGATTGTACTCTCCTTGTGGATGGGGGGTACACAGCTAACTGAGCTTTGAATCCCTCCAGCCTGGATTAGGGGCTCTCCTTTGTGCTTTCCTCCTAGGCTTGTACTATCCATTAGAGTAACCCCCAGTCACATATGGTTTTAAATCTTAATTCAGATAAAATAAAATTTAACATTGTTTCTTAGTCTCGATAGTCACATTTCAAGGGCTTATTAGCCACATTATGACTAGTGGCTACTGCAGATCACATGGTAAGACAGGAAGAGGAAGGAAGGGCCAGACTCTCTTAATAACCAGTTCTCTTGGGGACTAATAGAGCAAGAATTCATTCATTCATCATGATTGGCAATAAGCCATTCATGAGGGATCTGCTCCCATGACCCAGATACCTCCATTAGGCCCCATCTCCAACATTGGGGATCAGATTTCAGTGTGAGATTTGGTGGGGCCAAACAAATCATATCCAAACCATAGCTGAGAGCCTAGCTGTCACTACCTTTGCTCTTTGCAGCTACTCCACTTGTCTTCTACCTGACACATGGCAGGGGCTCAGCAAGTTTTGAGTGGATTACATCATGTTGGTTTGATGGGTCCCTCCCAGGGAGGCTTTCTCAGGATGGCTGTTAAATATCCACTAATCATGAATATTCGTAAACGGATCCCTCAAATGTAAACTCCCCCAGCTTTATAATCTGTGGGATGACTTTGTTGGTTCCCAGATGAGGCCACAGTGGTAGTTACTAAGCCCGTGGCTCAGAAATGTGAGGATAAACTCAGATCCCTCCAGGCTCCTCACAGACTGCCCAGGCCTGACAGAGTTTCTGCAGTCATGAAAAGGAGGTATAGTATATCCAAGTTTTTGGTCAGCTTGTGTGGGCAGCACTATGTGACATTTAATTCTTAAAAAATAGCTAAATGAGTAAAACAGTGGTGTTGCATATCTTTCCATGATACATGTCAGTGGAATCCAAGCAGTTCCCATCCAAGGACTTTTGGTCTTGCTTAAAGAAACCACAAGAGGCTGAACCCTGGTATCTGTTTTCCAATGTGTTTTCATAATTTTCGTGTTTTCTCATAGCACTTAAGTGACACATAAACCATGTGATATTCTTTAAAGATTTAAGAAGTGTTTTGTATTTCAGGTTGGCGATAACCTGCCACTCACCTTCCCAAAGTGATTTGAAAGGTGGTTGAAAATTGTGAAGGGTCTTACTCTTAAAATGTGTTTTTTACACATAAGTTTTTGTCAGTATTATTAGTGTGCAGTGAGGGAGTTTTTAAAAATATTATTTTCATGCAA